TATTTTCAGCTTACTCTCTTTCTCAAGTCCAGCATGCTCTCTGTCTACTGGAGCACCAGTTGGCAATGAGTCTTTGTAGATTTTTGCATCACAAAGATTGTGGTTTGGTGTTGAAGAGTAGTTCTTAGCCAAACACTATTAAAACAAACAAACTAACAAACAAACAAAGTCAAGGACTTAATTTTATGAGTAGCATAAATTCCAACTAGAGAAGACTAGATTTGTTGGATTAAATGTTGCTGACACTTAACAGCTCATGAAACTCATAATGAGATATATCATTTTGACATTTGGCATAGAAATGGGAGGCAGTAATATAGGAGAGAAATCACTGAACACATTTAAAGGTAGGTTTTTCATGTGTTGTTGATTTATTTAATTTATCTATGATAAACTAGCCAGATAGGCTGAAGAAATGTTTAACGCTGCTTGCCAGAAATTTCAGCCAAAAGTAAACTTTTTGTTTTTATTACTAGGGAGCAACGTTATCCTGGCCATATTTTGAAATGGAAGAAAATATAACCTATGTAGAACAGCAAGGCAGCAGTAATATCAGGCCGTCATTCATTCAGAGGAAGATGAGCAATGAAACCCTCAGTCTTCTGCATCAATTGCAGGTAGTAAAAGTCAATGACTTTTGTCTGTTTGGAAGGACACTTGGTAAGTAAGAGTGCAACCACACAAAGATGACCCTCAACTTTCCATTACAATGCTCTAACTCGATATTAATAAACCAGGTATGCTTCCTTTATACCAAACAGTAGGATTAGTAGACAGGCTGCATTTAAAAAAGTACAAAAGAGTTTTGAATAAATTAGATTTTTCTAAATCACTTCTAATGTGGTAATACAAGTAAATGGCTTTCAATAAAATGCATAGATTCATATATGCACATATATATTTTAGAATCATATAATCAGAAGGATGCATCAATTCAAGGGGAGCCTCTTGGTCCCGTGGAGGCTTGATGCCCCAGTGTAGGGGAATGCTAGGCCACTGAGGCAGGAGTGGGTGGGTGGGGGAGCACCCTCATAGAAGAAGGGGGAGGAGGAGGCGTTAGAGGACTTGTGGAGGGCAACCTGTGAAGGGGAATAACATTTGAAATAGAAATAAATAAAATAACCAAAAAAAGAGAAATAAGCAGAAGTATGTTTTTGTTTTGTTTTGTTTGTTTGTTTTGTTTTATATTCTTTTGGTTCTCAACAGTTTATTGGTTGTTCATGCTGGAAAAATGGATGCATAACTTACCACACCCACTTCTCAGGGTGGCCCTGAGATTAAATACCTTTTGTAGGGAGTAATGTCTGGGACAGGAAGCTTATTGGCCTAACCTTCCAGGCTTCTAGCTACCTCATTAGCATGGAGAACTCTGTTTTGGGCCTGTGTGGCCATAGAACATGTTTCTTTTATGTGAGGAGCATGGCACATGTCCCAGGTCCGGAATCTGGCAGGGAGCAGGGAGTCACCTAAGTCTCAGGTGTGTGCCCACCAAGTCCCTGCGTCTCAACTCAGCAGAAACGTTATTTAATGTTAGTAAACATTTTGTCATGTTTTCAAAGGAACAAATGCTCTTATAGTCATTGGTAACACTTTGTATCATATTACAGTTTTTTTTTTTTACAAGTACTAATAACATTTAATAGTAACTAGCAACTGTTTGTAATAGAACAAAATAATTTTATTCTCTTCCTATCAGTCAAGGAATATTTTCTCTAGAATATTTCTATTCTATCTCAGCTTTTCTATTGCTGAGGTCTGCAAGCTATTTAAATATTTTGTATTCCAATTTTTAGATATGGGATTTGAACTGAACTTTTTTCCAGATTTGTTTGCTTTTTCTTCTAAATTAAAATTTTCTTTTGCAGAACAAATCTTTCTATGTTGTCAAAAATCCATCTTAAAAATATATCTTGTGTTCTTTTGGTCTTTTGTCTGTCTTTTAAGACAAGAAGCCAAGTACCCTGCTATGATTGTGGTGTGTCCTTTTACTTCCTAATCTCAATACGTTCTATCTCATGTATATTGGGGTTCCATTGTCATGAAGGGCAGATTCAGAATCATGGAATTTTAGTGACTTAGTCATTTTATGATTTTTAGTCCTGGTAAATTTCTATGCTTAGAGATAAACTTGGACATAACTGTAGACATTCCAAATTTATTTGGTAAATACTTATGCACCATTTGAGATTTTGTGTTTGAAATTTTAATCTCTTCATCTGATTATCTTCATAAGAGACTTTTTATAGACAATATATAATTTGGTCTCAATTTTAAATTTACTGTAGTAACAATTCTTATATTTTACTTAATATTTTGATTTTCAAAATATATTTGATATCACATGCAATGATATTCATCTCAAACTGTACTTTTGTTTCATCTGTAGTTACTAGTCTTCCCCATTCCTTTTAGATCATTTGCATGATGGAGAATCATCACTTTTATCTCTTGGGAATTTGGATATAGTTACTTTTATAGATTTGTCTTGGATACTACAGGGAAAGATCATACACTGTTTTTCATGGTACTTAATGTATATCAATATGTCCAGTGAAATGTAGAAATATTAACACTTCATCATTTGTCTTTGTCTTTTACATCATAGTTGTCATAAATATTTCATATTCATTTTAGAAATGTTATAATCTTTGTTTTGACCAATAATTTCTATTTTAAAAATTTCAACAGTGTTTATTTAGCATGTTATATGTCTATAAAGGTCTCCACATTCATTTGGTCTTACTTCTTTTCCAAGTTTCTGTTATAATTTTTCTGCTATCTGACATACTTTCATTGACATGTTTATTTTTTAAAGAATCCATCTGCTGGTAACAAATTCTCATGGTTTCCTGAGAGATATTTTCACTAGATATATTATTCTGGGTCAACAGTTGTTTTCTCTCAGCCCTTTAGCAGTCCTGGCTCAGGGCTTTCTTCCTACAGTCATTTCTGAGGATGGATACATAATCATCTGAACTCTTGATCTGCTATATATAATGTGCCATTTTCAATGGTCATTTTCAAAACATTCTCCTCAGTCTGGTTTTTTGCCATTTGGATATGATGCATGTGAGAATGAATTTCTCTGTGCTTATCTCTTTTATCTTTTACTAAGCTTCTTAAATCTGTATATATGTATTTTAACACTCATGCTATCTTGTCTTTTCTTTTTCTTTTCTAATTGAAATGATTAAAATGTCAATACTCACGCACTCTCCACAGGGTCCCACTGTGACCTACATTTTCTTTAAAGCTTTATTTGTTTTTATTTTTTATGTGTATGAGTGTATTCTTTTTTTTGCAAGTATCCACATGTACCATGTTTCTGATCATCAGGTACCTTTCGAGGCAGAAAAGAGTGTCTAATTCTCTGGTGTTGTCAACATTTGTGAGCTATAAGAGGGTGTTGGGAATCAATTGTGAGTCTTCTGCAAGAGCAATGAGTGCCTTTAACCATTTAAGCTATCTTACATCTCCATGTATTTTTGTTAAAAGTATGGCTTCTCCTAGTTTCTTTTCTTTCTCTCTTTTTTTTTCTGATAATAAAATTCTTTCCTGCTGTGAATTGTATTATTTGTTGTCTATTTGTCTTGTCTGTAGGTATTAGTCTTTTATCTTTTCCTTTTAGATGATTGGCATAGTAGTGAATAATCACTACTTTCATCTACTGGGACTTTGGGTATAGTTACTTATATAGAACTGTCTTGGTTACTACAGGGATAGAGTTACACTGTTTTCCCGGTACTTAATCAGTGCATACATTTAAAAACATTATTTAATTTAGCTAATATTATTTTCACTTGTAAAAGTTCCATTTGTTTGTAAGGAAGGACACATGCAGAAAGTCAATATTCATCCATTGCTCTGTCACCTCACTTAAAATTTTGTAAATGAATGCCCTCCAATGTTTACTAAACATTTTATGAAAATATGTGCCTTGGAATATCAATTAATATCTCATAGTACATATCATTAGTAGAAACCTACATTCTAATCAGCATTATGTATACCATGTAGATGTAAAATATGTGATAGAAGTATTATCAATCATTTCATCCATTGAGAATATATTTTATATTCTAGTTATACATTATTTACAATTCTGAGGCTCTGAAATATAAAATTGTTTTCTAAAAGTACTCATTTACTTTCTAATAAAAGTAATACCTAAGCTCAGACCAAGAGAAAACAATGTTAAGGAATTAAAAAATAAAACCTTAAATAACTCTTGGGGCTGGAAGGATGGTTAGCAGTTAAAGGCATTCAGAGTTCCCAAGGCAGGCAGCTCATGACTGTCTGTAACTTCAGTTCCAAGGAATTTGCTTCATTTTCCACCTATGTGGACAGTATCACACATGTGGCATATATATGTGGCCATATATACATATACATAAAAATAGATACTTATTATTTATACATATAAGTGATATAAATAAATAAATAATATAATATAAAATATACAAATATATTTATTATAGTCTCTAATTCTCAGATTCTTCCCACTTCCTGCTTTTCTTTTTTTTTAAGGTATCTATCCATTTTTAATTACCAATAAAAGTGAAAAGATTGATAGTTCATATAGTATCATGGAAAAATATAAAAAACGTGCTGAACAAAAGGAGCCAGTTGAAAAACACTGTATGTCAGAACATAGTCAGAATAATGATGGGTGGTGGACAGTGCCTTGAATAACTGTAAGAGAGAATCTGGGAGAAAAGGCTTAGGGCCTTTTACCTCAGGTACACTTTGTTCCGTGGATTTTTCTTGGGCATGATTTTGTGTCTCCTGTGATGAACATATACATTTAACTTATAAGACATATTTATTCTTGTTGGATATCTGAACATACCTATAGAACCCAATCTGGACAGCCATCCCTAAATCTGGATATGGTCTTTTGCCTTACTTTCCCAGATATAGTCTATAGTACATGCCAGGCAATTGTGTTATAACTTGTCTATCCTGAGAAAGTTCTGACAAAGGGATGCTCTTTTAAAATATTTAGTATGTGCTTAGCCATTTATTTACGTTTTTCTTCATACAACATATTCTGGTTACAGTTTACTCTCCCCCTAGTCCTCCTGCATTTTCTGATCCGCTCAACTCTATGCCTTTTTCTTCTCTCTTTAGAAAACAGACCTGCAAGCAAAACAAAACAAAAAACATAATAAAAATGAAAACATGCACACACACACATACACAAACACACACACACACACACACACACACACACCCCTAAAACTCATAAAAGCACAAAATTAGAAACCTTAATATAGAAGCAAAGACCAGAAATAAACAAAGAAATGTGAGATAAAAAGTCTATAAATATTTTAAAATAGCTATTTATATTAAACAGTGTTATAACATATATATGTACATATAATATAAATGTATTATATGTACATTATGTATAATGAGGTTAGAGAAAAGAAAACTTAATTTTGATATCTGTGAGATCTTAACACTATTTTTCTATTTTTAAAAGTTTTATTGGTTATTTTATTTACTTACGTTTCAAATGTTAACCTCCTTCCCAGTTTTCTCTCCAAAAACACACTAGAGCATCCCCCTCCCCTCTGCTATACAAGGGTGCTCCTCCACCCACCTACCCACTTCCACCTCACTGCCCTAGCATTACCCTATGGAATGCTATGAGCTTCCACAGGACCAAGGGCCTCCCCTCCCAGTGATGCCTAACAAGGCCATCCTCTGCTACATATGTGGCTAGAGCCATGGGTCCCTCCATGTGTATTCTTTGGTTGGTGGCTTAGTCCCGGGGAGCTCTGGGGGGGGGGTCTGGTTGGTTGATAATGTTCTTCCTATGGGGTTTCAAACCCCTTCAGCTCCTTCCAGCATCCACATCTGTATTGATCAGGCTCTAGCACATGAGTGCATGCACACACACAATAAATGCAACAACAACAAAAAAGAACACACAAACAGAAAATCCATCTTCTTGTGGCCTCGCCTCTTTCTTTTGAGTTGGCTTTGGTCTCAACTATTGATTTACCTTTCAATAAATCAGTACAGTTTTGTAGCTTGCATTTACTCCATAGTTGTTAAACTCTAGACATTAGATGATAAATTTTATATACATCCTTCTATGTGAACAATCATTGGATGTCACAGACAAACATTATTTAAAATCTTGATTTTTATAACTAAAATTTTCCAGTAGCATAAGATACTGGAGTGGGAAATGGGATTGTCCTCCTTGAACAAATGTTTGTGGAAAGCCTGCTAGACATCAGACTAGAAGGTACAGAGGCAAAGGAAACAGTGAATTTTCAGTTGACCAGGCAAGTCAATGTGGGAGTGAAAACGGCAGGATCGATGTGTAAACTAAAAATTTATCAGAAAATACAAAACCAGGTGTGCACTAAGAAACAGCAGCATTTGTAAAGGTGGTGTTGGATGGAAGGGAAAAGGACTTCACATGGACAGGCAATATCTGTCCCCTGAATTCACATACATTCACTTTTTTGGTGTGCTGTTGCTAATATAAATTGCTACACTTCATGTAACTGATTATATTTTTTGTATAATATGAAAGGAAAGTCATTCAGAGTTAAACAATATAAACATGTCAGATAAACGTCTGACATTTATATTAAATGCCACTATTTAAAATATCCTTTACACTTTAAAAGTGGCTATATAGTTCCTTTATGTATCAAAAATTTACAATACTTCCATGAAGAAGTATCAATTAAGGATAGCACTTTAACATCTTCACAGACAGCTGCTACATTAAACATTTAGACCATTTAGTTTTTCAACAATAAATATGGAGGATAAATAGTTAGGGGTCTGTAGATGATTCTGTTGTAAAATGTTATTTGGTTTTAAAAGAAGATTATACTGTTTAAAAATTCTTCTAAAGGTTCAAAGGAATCAGATTTATAAATATATCAGTTTTAGAATCTTCAACTCTGAATGTCTTTTTTCATTATAATACTGAAGACTTGTTATAGTGACTTTTCAGAATTTATGGAAATAGAGAAAAATTTCACTTCAAGAGCATCTTTATGTAATAGGTTTGTACTGTGCTTAGTATATGGAATAATAGGGGTCAGGTTGAGGTAAGCAATTGTCTACTAAAGCATAAACCTGACTTTAGAATGACTTTTACAAGGAGTGTAATCTTTTGAAAGTGCTCTGGCAGATGAAGACTGTTTCCCAGCAAGCTCCTTGTCTTAGCTCTTCTGAAGCAAGTTTGCAAACACTCCAGCTGTTCTTTTTCCTATCACAGAAATGTCAGATGAATTCTAGGGATAAATGGAGGAGCTCTATCAGAAAGGTGACACCCTCCCATATGTGATCTTGCCTTGCCAGGAAAAGTACTTTCACATCTTATGAGATCCCAGAATTCCAGTGCATTCTGGATACTTCTATAGTTGGTTAAATTTTAGTGTCTGAAAGAATTTTTTCATTCAGTACAGTGACAATCCACTATGAATGAAGATTTTATATTAATGTTAGCTTTACTTAAGGTAATATTCTTACAATAATATACAAACATAATAATTTAAATGAAAAATATATGTCATCAGGATGAGAAGATGGTTCACAACTCAATGTACAATTGTAACTATTGATTTCCTGGGTGTATTATTCACTGTTCTCTAGAGGGACAGAACTGACTGAGGAATGAATAAATGAATACACACACACACACACACATATATGTATATATATGTATATATATACATATTTATATATGTATACACACACACACACACACACACACACACATATATATATATATATATAAATTTAATTTTCTTACATGAACCTGACTGATGATCCAACGACTCTTCAAACTACAAAAGCAGTCCATAGGTTTGATGCCACAACACTCCCAATGTGGAGCAGAAGCCTGGAGGACTCTGGAGAAGCCACTGGTCATCAGCTCATGTTAGAAGTTTGAAGCACCTCAATTCTGGTTTCCTCAAAAGATGATGGCAGTCACAGCAGTAACTGTAATATCATCATCACCATCATCATCACCATCATCATCACCATCGCCATCGTCATCATCGTCATCATCATCAACAACAGCAATGATATAGCAGTTGTATTAGAACATAAAAAGCACAAGCAAGCAGAAAAAAGTTGAAACTATTTTTGGACCTCCTAACATCAGAAGATGTCTGCCACTCTGCAGGGTGGGTCTTTCCAGGAAAACCTTTCAAGACCCACCTAGAGGCATATGCATATTAAGTCCTAGTAGATTCTAGACCCAGTCAAGTTGACAGCAAAAATTTACCATCACATTGGATACGTGTGGTTTGAAGACTATAGAAAATTTACTTACTTTTAATAATGTATATCTATTTTATCAATCAGGTCTTTAGGGATTTAAAAATGTAATTATAGTGACAAAATTTTTACTCATCCTATATCTCTCATATTTCCCTTTAATAGGGTATGCTGTTGATAGGAATGTAAACTTCAAATTAATAATGTGTTGCTCAGGATCTAGTAAATTATATTGGGAAGTTCCTTATGAAGTTTATAATAGGAAAAGTCTATTTTCATGTTATAAAGAGATATTTCTAAAACATGCAATACAACAATTTCTTTGTGTTTAAAAGTTTATTCTTTCTCACATGACAGAAGTATATGTATCTTAAGAATCAAAATTTGATGTGTTGGCTAATAACAGTAATTTCTTCCTGTGGAGGCAACTAACATGACTGTATCTTAGATGTTGGTACACTCTGTGAAGATGCCTTTCAAACAAGACAAATACTTGGTTTCTGTGGGTCATTCACATGGCATTTTATGTGTGAATTTATATTTAAACCAGTTCAATAAAAATACACAACTATTCTTTTATAAAAATTTCTTCTATAACCCTTTGTAATTATATTTTGATTGGTTTTTCACACAATATGTTTTGATTTTGATTTATCCTCCCCCATCTATTCCCTTCCCTCTTCCTACCATGAGCCCTAGCCTTTGGCATCTACTAATTTTTCTTTGTATATTGAAGTTTATCTTTGAGAATATTAATTTCTATCATATTTGTGATTGAAGTTGGATGTTTTTCTCCATTAAGCATTATGCTCTTGAAATCTGACGAGGACACTACACATACAAACATTTGTTATTTTTTTAAAAGATCCAGAACATGTTCTATTATTTATGACCACAGCGTAATTAACTCCTTGTCTACTATAGGAAAAAATTTATAGCTATGCTTTTAAATATTTCAAATATGACTTCTATAAACATTTCTGCTCAGGATTTTCCTTTTATTTTTTTCATTGAAAGGAGAGGAGATTTTTCATACAATATATTTTGATTATGATTTATCCTCCCCCATCTATCCCGAGATCATCCCCATCTTCCCTCCAGAGAAAAATGTTTATTACATATAATAAACACTCATTTTACATTTTAACCTCCCCACAACTTTACAATAAATGTCTTAAATATTTTCTGTACACCATTGAGACCCACATTAGGCATTTATGTCATTTTTGTTTCAACTTCAATTATAAGTTAAAAATCAAGAGGAAAGCAGATAGTAGTATAGTGGCTATTAGATCTTGGGAAGGGACTTGGTATGGCAATATAAAAAGGGGATATGGAATGCAAGGGTGCACCTGGGCCATAATGTTCTATAGTGCAGTAGAGTACGGTTGATAACAGTCAATTATATATTTTAAAGTAGGCAGTAGACATTTTATCCAGTAAAACACAGGCCACACTAAGTAGACTAGGTAAGTTATTGAGAGATAGAGATAGAGATAGATAGATGATAGATAGATGATTGATAGATAGATAGATAGATAGATAGATAGATAGATAGATAGATAGACAGAGATGAGATAGACCAGAGATAGCAATGAGTTAGAAAACGTGAGTTTGGAAAGCTTATGAGAGAAGAGAGTTCCAGCAGGAGTCAGAGGAGAGAAGCAGCAGGTAGATATCTAAACAGTTTCCATGTGTGAAATTACCAAAATGTAAATACAAATATAAAGTGGCGGAGAGGATTTTGAAATTTTTTTTGTATTTGCTAAATTAAAAAAAAGGCAATAGATAGGCTAACTACCCCAATCTGATCACTATATTGATTGTATATGTGAATTTAAATAACATGTGGATTGAAACAGTGCAGTGTTTGTTCCCAATAAGTATGCATAATTGCTAGGTGCCAGTAAAAGATAAAAAAATATTTTAAAAGGAAAAGGCTATTGTATTTAAGGCATTCTTTGTTCTTTCTTTGTTCTTCTTCCTTTACCCTGATGTTCCAGATTCCTTGTATCATTTACTCTGTGTTTCAACAAGTTCATCATCATTCCTGAACAGCAGAATTGCTGGTGTTCTTTCATATATGACCATCTTAAATTTCTCTTCATTTCTCAGGGAAATTTTAGTTGGATGTCAAAAATAGTATACGATCATATTTCTTTGTTTAAATGTAGGCAATGTGTGTGTGTGTGTGTGAGAGAGAGAGAGAGAGAGAGAGACAGAGAGAGACAGACAGACAGACAGACACAGAGACAGACACAGAGAGAGACAGAATCTCTCTGTATTTGTGTGTGTGTGTAGGAATAATAAAAGAAAAAGGGACTATCTACTTGAGAGTGGGAAAGGATGGGTGGGGTTGAGGGGAAAATATCTGGGAGAGGCTGGAGGGAGGAAAATGGGAGAAAGTGATATAATTCCATTTTGATTAAATACATTAAAAATTTAAAAAATAATAACAGAATTCGAATAATATATTTTTTCAGAATTTGAAAAAACACAATTTTTCTTCCAGAGGGCCTTTCCATTTCTGATGGGAAATCCACTACTATTTTTTTTCCTCTATGATTTGCATATAGGTTATATGCGGGGTGAAGGAAGAAGCAAGGAGAAAGTCCTTCAGACAGCAGAGCTAGTGATCTGGAAAGTGAAATGGAAGAGGAAGAGAAGCTGATTTCAGGATATGAATTATGCAGCTGACTTCTGTTAGTACGATGGATTTAGTCTTGACTTTCTCTGGATCCATAGAATGCAGCTTAAAATAGAAAGGATGAACTTCCGAGTCCCATTGGTCAATGTTGTCCTGTAAATTCTTATGTGTCTTGTATTTTCATATTTGTGCATGCAGGAATACTGAAGTGTTCCATGCTCAGAATAGTGAGTGTGAAATACTCCGTGTTACCTCAGATAAGTGTAAGGAACTCTTTGCTACAGTGCTGATTGGACGATTGACAAAGATGCTTGGCTGAACACAGTGTATTCTCAGCTTAGACTTTCTATTCACATAAAGAAGTTTTGCTGTCCAACTTCTTGATGCTACATATCTTGACTTTCTTGGAATTTGTTCAAAACTCTAGAAGTCCTTTCAACACCACCTTTCCTCCTGCAGATAAAATCATGGAATGTACAAGTACATCGTTTATATAAACTGATGCTGTATTTGCATGTAACTTGCAGCCATTTCCCCAAATATTTTAAATCATCTTTAGACTACTTATATAATACAGAGCAAATGTTATGTAATTTATTGCTATTCTCTATAGTTTGGAGAGTAATGGTAAGAAAAGTCTTTACACATTTATAACTGAAGCAGTCATTGAATGACTAACTATATGCTGGCTTCAATTCACAGATTCAGAACCCCTAGCTACAGTTTCAGGAGGAGGTTTTACCTTGGAAATTCTTCCTTGCATCTCAGAAGAGTCCATGCCTCTCTTTCCATGGAGCTGTCATGTTACAATCATCACCTCTCAGAGGGCAACTGAGTTCATGTGGCCCTGGATTCTGTCATCTTTCATCTCTTCCAGTCTCTAAGGATTCATCTTCTTCCTGAGTCAGGCTGCTTCCACTTAGAAAGAAAATATCTCATTCCATTCCCTTCCTGAACAATTTGAGCTTCTTCCTTGTGTGGATCCTTATTGGTTAAAGACTGGAAAATCATTCTTGTATTCATCCAAGTCTTGTGTAATAGTGACTCCAAACAAATAATTCAATATTGTTTGAAAGATTATTTGGGGAAAATTATTCTTTTGGAATGTTGCAGTTTAATAACTTTTAATTCTCTTTTAATTCCTTTTTAAATATGCAGAATCCATGTTACAGGACTTATATTTGTGAATCTTTATCTGTCAAAATTTTTCTCCTGCCACACAAGGAATTGTCCACATAATCAGTTGGAAAGTGCTTTTCCTTTGAGGCCATTTTCCAGATTGTACAACTGCCCAAAATTTATGATAGATGGACTTGTTAGACCATAGCCAGGGTGAACATCGGAATGTGCTATTTTTAGTGATAACATCATAAAATGGCAGCTGTGATTGAATTATATTTTGGCCACAATTGTACTTTTTTTTCATGGGCTTATTTGGCTAAGGAGAATGCTCTTAATTTCTCATTCCATGTCATTAAGGAGACAGCAACATTTGACAGTCAGAGCCTGTCCTAGTCAACAGTACCCACAGAGTAGTAATTAAGAGGTCTTCACATTACACTTAAAAATGTCCAGAATACGTCAATAAATTACTAACCATAATCATCACCCTTGAATATTGAATATGAAGCAGCATCCTATTGGAATTTTAAGTGTTTTGTATGTGTGTAAAGGCTAAGATGTTTATAAGACAATGTTTGGATGCAACATACTTTGAGAATCTTTTTAGGCTCTGTTTGCCAGGAATTTCTGGCTTGCTGCAAGTCTTTATCAACTATGTGTCCAGATGGTCAGTTCCTTGGTTGCCCAGAGACAGGAGCTGAAGCTTGTTTTTGCATGAGCTCAGTCTATGGACACAACTAAAGCAGAGATTTTTCCAGAAGATTCCATGAACAGAATGTTACCAAGTCACAAATGCTCCAAAAGTTGGACATGAATTAAGAGA